TTTTATTATATGTGCTGGTTCAATACTTTTTTCTCCTCTTTTCATCATACTTTTTTAGTTTATTTGCCTTTTTTAGATACTGTTCGACTTTCTACATGGCATTTTAAAGTAGCTGTTTCTCTAAATAATTCAAATAGATCACATATTTGACCATCAGCTTTGCGATAGGAATGGCTCGCGCAAATATGATCACACTTCTCTCGTGCGCTGGCGTGATTCGCGCGCCGCTCGTGAACAGCGCTGCCTTCAGTCATATTGTGCTGATAACTGCTCCGTTCGGTTCGCACGTGAAGTTAGCGCTTATAAATGCGCTGAAGGCGCGATTTAAATAATGAATTAATAGCCTGATTCGAGGTTTCCATTAACCATGGTATAAATATTGGGGGGGTTGTACTTGCTAGTTTTGGTTATTGGGGGGGTTATATCCCTCCACAAACTACTCCCCTGCCTGGCATCCATGTCCTCGGTTTTCAATCCTTTCTGAACTGCTACATAGCACCACCTTTCTAAATATAAATATGAGTTGCCACCATACACCAAAGCTTATAATGCGCATCATAAGCGTTGTCATGTGAACAACACGTATTGATTTAGTCCTGAGTGGGCTAAAAGTAGTTTATGGTTCATTTCGAATCGGTCATGAACACAATTTGTGTGAGTTATTTCAATGAGTTACCGCTCAATGCGTGTTTTTTATTCTGGACCGGTTCATGAGAGTCATTCGGTCGCCAATCGGACTACCTTGGTATATATTTTGATTCGGTTCTAAAATAAGAACAGACTCAAAAGAATCATTGGTGAATCGAAGTACTGGCAGCGGTTGCATTGCTGAATAGTAGTGCAGGAAATACTAGTCCATATTAGTGAACCGTTAATGAAGAACATCATGAGAGTTGAAATTGCTCTTATGACTTTACTTACGCTTATTTGTGAACAGCTACTAAATATTAACGGAGAAGAATGCCGTGGCGGAGGGGGAGGGAGACTTAATGTGAGGGGGAAGGGAGCTTGACCCGTGGGAGGACTTATTTTGTCTGTTCATATGCATTTTTTTTTCATAATAACCAACATGATAAACAGAAGTAAGGTTCAAAAGAATAAAGCTATGATTTTTAAATGCACATAAAGTGAACACACCCAATACATTTCATATGTTGGCAAAATGAATAATGTATTTTAACTTGATTCACATGCAAACATGTTTTTCATTTTTTATAGCAAACGAATCTAGTGAAAATTGCGGTCACTATATATAGAGAGTACGTTTTGTTCTCGTGAAGGTCAGCCATTTTGTTGTCATGACTTGCAGCATGTGGATTTCTCTTTTTGAAATGTCTACTAACTGCAGTACCGCTTGCGAGCTGTTGGGGAGCTCACAAAGATGAGAGAAACGTTTATGTAACCAATATAAAGCTTCACTGGATAAGGTCTATATTTGCGTAACCTACACAACTTTACCTTAATTACACATTATTAAAGGAGTAAATTATTAAAAGAGTTATATCTAGACCTAATTAATCAGTTCTGCTCCACCACCTAAAGCTCTAAACCGTTTCGGTGGGTTCCACTGGATCAATAACATAGATTCATTCAAGTTATAAAGAGTAAAATGAGGTCTGAAAGTACACTACATTAGTAGACTTGACTACCTAACCAACACTCACTAAAAAGTACTTCTCTCAGATAACAGAGCAGGGAGAGCATTTGGCTCCGCCTCCTTTTCCAAGCAGCCAGAAATAACCGGAAACGACACACGGAGAGTCAAAGACGACGGTATTGCTGTATCGTCTAAAACGCCACGATAAATAACGTTGTCCAAATGAGAACCAACTTAAAACCAATTACCTCAGTGCCAGAGTTTGTTAAAATGTCACCGCGCCAGGCGCGTTTAGCAAAGAACACACTCAAAGATAGATAGCCCTGCAACATGATAAATGAGGGGCGAGTTTAAAGGATTAAAGGATCTAAATAGACTGACTGCACTTATAAAACGGTTTTCATCAAGTCAAAGCCATGTTACAGCGTTTGAAATACGATGGCAGGAACGACACACACGTGACATGAGAGAATTCGGATGGACTAGTAATTAAACGCGGTGTGAACCGAATAGAGTGGACTGTTGTGTTGCTGTGACGATTCAGAATCGCGCCACTCACTGGACTCTGTGGTGAATACTGACTCAGTTTAGTCTTTAGTCGTACAGCTCCCTCTACAGGCAAAATGTTGGAAATGCCGAGATGACAGTCTCTGTTTCTGTTCTATTCAATACAACTGAAACAAATCACAAACATGAACTGAACTGAAAAGACATCTGGTAAACGGAGTTGTGTTTGGACCCGAAAAAAGTCAAGGCAATTATGGCAAACATGTTTATTAAATTAAAACATAAGCATCATAATAAATAAAACATAAATACAATATAAATAATATTTCATAATTATTGTTCAAAGGTGTTTTATTATTCCACACCAGCATTAATTAAATGTGATATGAAAAAGATGAACTGATTTAGGATCAGTATGTGTAGACTTCCTACATATATAATGTTCCATGAAGTGATATTGTGAGATGGAATGTAGAAGTAATTACACATATACACACAATTGGAAATATTGGCACACATGGGATGAAAATAAAAATTCCATCACATTTGAAGACAGAAATCACTATTACCATCTGCAAAACTTTGAGAAAGCTTTGTAATTTTCATACTCATTCACACAAACATGGGGTGTCCATACAAAATGTGCTTCAAGAAAAACCTCAAAACCACAACTCTTGATTTGTTAAAGGCACTGATCATTTTTAATCAGTGCTCTTTCAGTTTCCTCCTGAAGTTTATTTAAACACATTAGCCACTGTAAATCCTGGCATGCATTTAAACTGCTGTACCTGCTTGGAATGATCTGTAGGAATATGCTTCAGTGGTCACTTCAAAGTCCTCTGAGACTTGTTTTGGCAGAGATACACAGCAATGGTAAAAAGTTAGTACTAGAGAATCTAATGTACTTAAAGAAACACTGCTGTACTCTTACAGGGCCAAAGAAAATGAGATACTTATTAAAACACTTGCGTGTTAAAATTTAGTAGGCTTACACATAACTTGAGTATGTTTAATTGGCATAGGTACTAAAAGTGTGCTAAATGTTTTAATAAATAAGGCCCATTGAGCTGCAGACTGCAGTGGCAGTATAGGTTCCAGTAGTAGAGGACAGAGCAAGTGATATGCCAACACTGGGCAATTTCCAATTACAAATGCTATAGCACAAGGCTATTTACCATCATGTTAGACCTGAACATGATTATCACGAGCAAACTCGCTCACTAAAGTCAGCAGAGTGAGCAACTGGGGAAGGCTTTTTCTTATTTTCAAATGTTGTGCAACAAGAGATGATGACTAAAAGGAGAATAAAGACAAAACCTCCACAGCGATGAAATCTTCTGAGCACGCACAGCTGAATTATTACAAGATGAATCTTGGTTTTCTCTCGCATCCTTACTATGCCGCTCATTTGTTTCCTCACAGGTTGCTTTCTTGTGTGTCTTGGCCAGAGGAGGAGATGGGATGTAGACCTCCATTATCGTTGAGCCTCTTGGCACGGTACGTCTCGTAATGGATGTTATGAGTGACCTCCTTCAGGTCCTGGAGGTGAGACCTGAGTGTATTATAACAATATTATTTGTGTTGAGTCACTGTTATTTTTTATTATTATTTTTTTAATATAAAGCCTGCAAATTGAATTATATAAAATGTGTTTTGTTTTTTATTATTATTGATATTAAGAGAGCATAAACATTGATAAATATATAAATAAATAAATAAATAAAAAACAAATGACTGACTGTTCAAACATTTGGAGACAGTGAGATTTCTATGTTTTTGAAAAGTCTCTCATGCTCATCAAGGGTGCATTTATTTGTTCAAAAATACAGTAAAAACAGTAATATTGTGGAATATTATTACAACTGATTTTTTAAAAGTACATTTTAAAATTAAATTTATTCCTGTGATGCAAAGCTGAATTTTCAGCATCATTACTCCAGTCTTCAGTGTCGCACGAGCCTTCTGAAATCATTCCAATGTGCTGATTTGCTGCTTAGGAAACATTTATTTTTATTATCAATATTGAAAACAGTTACGCTGCTTAGTATTGTTTGTTGAAAACATGTTTTCAGGGTGAATAGAAAGAACAGCATTTATTTGAAATAGAAATCTTTTGTAGCATTATGTTTTTATTGTCATTTTCCTTGCTGAATAAATGTACTCTTTCAAAAAAAAAAAAAATCTTACTGACACCAAACTTTTGAACAGTAGTGAATACAATAATATTAAGATTAGCATATCAAATAAGGCTTCATACATCACCTAATCATGAAATCACGAAGTAAGGAGAATTCGCAGTGATTTGGGTTTTCAACTACAGAGATTTAAAAAAAAGTGTTTTGTCAGAAAATATGTATCAACACAATACACTGTACACAAGTACAAATACAAAAGGTTTACTGTAAAATAGCTCATTCTTTATACACAGTATCTTAAAAGGATACCTTGAAATTGACATTGTCTTGTTTGGTCAAGTTAAATTGTTAAAGCTGCCCTAAGTACATACTGACAGGGGGGAAAACATACAGAAAACATGCAGTTTCGTTTTGTAACCTTTTGAGATTCAATTTTTTTTTATTTGATTGAAAAAGTGATTAAAATTCCTTATGTTCACATATTTGTATTATTTTGTGCAAATATACATATAAACCCAAAACATAATCCTCTTGGAAGCAATTTCAGTCCATGTTTTAAATGCAACAGACAGAAAATGCACCCAATATAGAAAATGACCCAAATATTATAGGTTTGTTTGCCAGCTGCGGGAAGTTCTCATCAATTACTCTAGGATTTGACTTCAGTTTCAAAACTCCACTTATCTATTTTGTTATAATACTAGAACCACAATAACAAAAATAAATATTTTAATCTAGCTTGGCACAGTGAAACAAACAGATAACTTTTTTTTTTATTCCAGAAATCTGCATTAAAGGTTTGAAATAACACAGCAAACACTTCTGCCTACTCACCCTCCACCACTCCCCAGGGTGTCTTCCTGCCCAAAATTCGTTTGGCATTGGCCTGGTACTCTTTATCACTTCCTACCACGGCAAAGGGCATTGCCTCCTGTAATGCACAGATTTAATAAGACAAACGTGATGTGAAAACACACAGACCAACAGATGAGGGATGAAAGATGAGATAAGAGAGATGTAAAGAAAAAGAACAGCATGCAAGATGTAAGACGTGAGAAGTTCCCCTTACCCTGATCTTATCATTATCACTCTTATCCTCCATGTCTTCATCAAACTCCTTCTGTGGATAACACTCAATCCCACACGCTTCCAGCTCCTTCCTCACCTACAAGAGATTATAGTAAACTGTAATTAATCAGCGTGAGAAAACGGACTTGATTTTGAATCACCATGTGAATCTGTCTTTCATTCTTACCTTCTGTTTAAATTCAGTTTTCTCATCAAGAGTGAGTGTGTCCGACTTGGCAATGACAGGAATGATGTTGACCACACGACTCAGATGTTTCATGAATTCAATATCCAACTGGCGAAGCCTGTGAAAGGGGAACGAGATATAATTAATAGACTGATAGAAGCAGATTTTATTACAGGACCACTGGCCTTTCTGAGGTTCACAGTTTGACTAATAAAGCTCAGTCAAGCATTACAGCTGAATGAACGCTCACGCACACAGTCTTAAATCAACACAGCGGCTTACACAGCTGGAATACACTACACAACTTTTTTCCCAGGTTTTTGCTCCAATTTGCAATCTGGACAAGTCGATGCAAGTTGTCGAAAGTCAGAGCCATTCGGCAAATTTGAGATGACAGATTCCACAGAAAACCATGTAGAGTATGATGATCACAGACTTCAATTTTTAACAACAGACTATGATTCTATGCAGTCTGACAATATCAAACATGTTTGATATTTTGAGCCCATTTTTGAACACATTTTGTTTTCATTTGTCATGCATCTGTGTGTTCGGAATGACCTCAAAGTCTGGTAGTGTGTGATCGTCAGATGCCGAGTTGTTCCTCTGTAACCATTTACAACGTTGGCAAGTTTTAAAAACTATTCAGATTTCAATAAATATTCAATAATTCAATAATGAATGAAGCTGCAACTGCAAGCATTTTTCAACTATTGACAAATAATAAAAATAAATCTCAAAGATATTAATACTCCAGAGAAGCACACAGAAATCCATTATCTTATTGGTGTTCTCGACAGAGACCAATTTGGTTAATTATAGCTAATAATATGGCACCAAAATGTGAGCTGATTCAGTATGTGATTAGCTGTGGCTGATCATATACTATGCTGTCATATATGATGAAAAGATAAACTTCAATACTTACTGATAGAATCTGGTACAAGTATGTGAGCTGTTTTACATGGTATATGAACTAAAGTAAAATATTCCTATGTAATTCAAACTCACGAGTGTCCAGTTGGAGATATGAAGTACAAGCAGCAGTGTACTCTGGTATCAGGGATGCGTTTCTTGCGAGCAATGTTGACTTCTTCCTTCAAAAATTTCTCGTATTGTTCATTGATGTATTTGGATATGGGCTCCCAACTCGGAACACAAAAGAAAAAAATTCAACAATGTTGCATGTTGAGAGCTATGTTAGAGTACATGAAACGTTGAAACAGCAAATGAAAAACCAGACTAGACCAAACAGTTTGTTTGTAGTTCATTCACAGTTTGAAACAGCTTGAAGTGAACGTTCCAGAAAAGTGGTTAATTTCTTCTGTTCAGTCCATCTTGCTCAGACACAAGTAAAAACACAAACATACCGGAGAGTTACTTTTTAGTAGAAATTGAAGTTGTAATTCTACTTGAAACCAAGTGACACTGATGCTGTTATTTCATGTTTAATATGATAAAGCCGCTTGCTTTAAAGCAATCTATTGTATGAAGTTCTACATAAATAAACATGACGTGACTTTACCGGAGTGCTGAATTACAGAGCTATTGCAAACATACCCACATCACTCTGATCAGATCAACTTCTGTTTTCTCAGTGTTGTCATTTTTGTTGTGTATTTGTTTCGTTATTGAGAGGAAAGCATGCAGCACATATTTACATATTCATCTAAATGCCTCTCTCAACAGCATGGGTGGCGTCGGGATATTTGCAAAAAAGTATACCACTGCTCACGTATTTCAAACTTCTTTTTACCCCAAGCGAAAAATTTAAAATAAATTTTGGTTTTAAGCTTTGGTTCTGTATGAATAAAAAGCTGCATAAAAGGCTACATTAACACCCAACAGCCAATGAAGCACTATTTTCTCTAAGGCATTTGAATGACAAAGAAAATCACTTTGTCCCTTAACTGAGAATCTTGGATATGATCACTGAGGGCGTGCTGCCAAAACACACTCACATTTGGCATCCCTACCAGCAATCTGATTCTTGTCTGTGCAAATTAAGTGCAAATCTGGAAGTCAAAACACTGACCCTCACACTTGGAACATTTTTGTTCAGTTTTTGATGCCAGTTAGTAGCAGCCAAAATTAAGCACACAACTGACCCCATTTATTTTATCTGACACAAATGCATGTCCTCAGTTTCCCAGATGCAGTGATGAAGGATGCACTGGCATTTTGGATCATATGCAACAACTAAATTTGTTAAAAAATAGCTACCGGTCCTCTGGCTTTAACAGAGAAGTCACAAATAACACAATACTCACCAATTTTCATTGTTGATTTGGTCCCCAAAACCTGGTGTGTCAATGACTGTTAACTTCATCTTCACCCCTCCTTCCTCAATCACTGCAAAATCAATATTTGTCAAGCTACAAATGCAGTAAATGCAGCCAGTGATTGTTTCTGTGACAGGATATAGTGGTTCAGTGTCACAAAATAACACCACCTTTGTCCATATCATGTATGCGGTCCAGTATTGAATCGACACCACTGACTATTATTTGGACAAAAACAGTTGAAACATTCTTAAAGGGGCAGTTCACCCCAAAATAAAAATTCTGTTATCATTTGCATTCCAAACCATAAGACTTAATGTTCTAACACAGTGGTTCTCAATTCCAGTCCTGGGCCGGCCTGTGGGGATCCGGGGCATTTTATTGACAGGTGTCCAGTGATGGAGGTGGGGACACTGGATCCGGGTCCCAGACGCCCCACAGGCTGCCCCCAATCAAGCTGGCTTATACCAAATACCTGGGAGTATTAAGGGGTTACTTATCAGGCTTTGGTGGATTCAGGATGTAACCAGAGCTCAATTGATCAAAGCCTGATTCAGCCCGAGGCATTGGATAAAAGTCGCATGGTTCAGGTATGGTGTGTGTACGGGAATGTGGTGGAATATCCGATAATGTCCACGGTTATTTAATTTCGGGGACAAAATCATAGTATAGTGGTTGCAGTTAACCCGTGCCTCCGACATCCACTAATTTTGGGAACAAATTGGCCCCCGTTTAGTTAATTATTGGGATATTTATGTGTGGATGTCTCTTGTGGGAAGAGAGAACATGGGAGGCGGAGCTGTGTCAGCAGGCTTTCACCCAGGTAAAGGCTGCTCTGTGTGGTGGACTGCTGTTCCATTCTGCTGATTTTCTCTCCCTTTTTTACTAAAGACGGAAGTGTCGGATAGAGGGCTTGGAGCGGTCCTGTCCCAGGAGATAGAGGGAGAGGAGCGGCCGGTGCTGCACATCAGTCAGAAGCTCTCTAAGAGAGAGACGAAGTACAGCACCATTGAAAAAGAATGCTTGGCGTTCAGGTGGGCCGTTCTCACCCTCCGCTATTATCTCCTGGGATGAGAATTCACTCTCTGTTCAGCCACGCACCCCTGCAGTGGCCTGAGTCAAATGGTGGGGGTATGTGGAAAGGGGGTCGTGGTCCAGAGAGGTGTCTGCAGCAGTAGAGTGGGACTGAAGATGAGCGGTAAGTAGGTTAAGTGCAAAATGACAATCACCTGTGTCTGCTTGCAGTAATTGGCGTGGAGAGACCGGTTAAAAGCCACCAGGAAACAGGAAGCGAGAGGAGGGAGACTGACTGAGGACTCGTGTGTGTGTGTGTGTGTCAAATGCTCTGGAGAGCTGCCCATGGATTTATTTATTTTGGGACTGAATTTATTTGAAGCGCAGTGGGCGTGACTTTGTTTTGGAACTCTGAAACGTTCGATAAAGATCACGAGCCTCAGTAAAGACGACCCTGACTTCTTCCTTCCTTATCTAAACTACGTTACATGGGTTAACTGTTTTTTTAAGTCAGACATGTTTATCTAGACACAATGTCATGATGATTTAAAACATTTCCCACCTGACACCTATTTTACACCTACATTTCAAACACCATAAGAACAATATCTCACAACGTCAATAAGAAATAAATATCTAGCCTTTTTCTGAACACCATTTGGATACATATGATATCATTTAGTTTGCCAGCTGTTGACTTACCTATAGGGGATTCACCAACAGCTGGCCTCCTAACTTGGCCTGGGCACAACACATGCCAGTCTAGACACATCTTACTCAAAAGCACATATGCTTTAGGTCGCCACTGTGCTACAGGCCCTGGTGTGTTGATTACATCAGCAGTAACTAAATGAGTCTTTCTTAATTAGTCCATGATGTCTATTTCTGTCAAGTGAAAGGTCTGTCCTTTAGCAACCAGTGCTTAAAAGGTTTCCTTGAACAAGCAACGGATGCTGTTGTGAATCCTTGACACAATGAGACAGTTAAATGTTTAGAAGTCACATGATCAGTATACTCTTACCATGAGATACAGATTTAATCTCAACAGTCTTTGGGATCTTCTCATCACGACTCCAGCTTGTGCTCCTCCTGCTCACCTGTGACTTAAAGAGAGTATTCACTAAAGTAGACTTCCCAAGACCACTCTGACCTGGAGATAGAGAGAGAGAGAGAGAGAGGGGAAATGGTAAGAAAGTGAAAAAAGTAAAAAGTAAATGTGAACAAACTGCTCTCCCACCCACCAACCACCATGATGTTGAAGTCAAAGCCTGTCTTCATGGTCTTCTTCCGCATCTGCTCGATGATGGTGTCTATTCCGATGTATCCAAGCAATGCAGATCCTCGACCTGACCCTTGACCTTCACCCCCCGTTCCTTGGGGTGAAGGCACAAAGGGAACGCTAGAAGGCGGGGCCACATGAGATGGCTTAGCTGGGACGGCAGGTTTGGGTCTCACTTCAGGGGGCACAATTTCTGACATGTCTGTGTGAAAGAGTGAATCATAAACAATCAATACATTTAATCAGGCAAAATGTTATTTCACTATAAATGCTACACTGTGCCGCCATTAAATCTAGTAAAGTAGATTTATGTGATCATATATTTAAGGTGCTGCAAATTATCATTTTTTACTTTATTTGTATTATTTATTTTATTTGAAGGTAGTATTTAACTACTTAAATATACTGAATAGTGAACTTTTAGATGAAAATAATGTAAAGCAAAATATGACTTAAAATCATCAGTTTTTATTTATATTAATATTATTATAATACACATTTTATTTGAATGTAATCAGTATATAACTACATTCAAATATTCTGAATATTAAACTTTAAAATGCAAATCGTATGCAGCAAAATACATTCTACTATAATTATGTTTACATGAATATTAGTTATGATAATATCATTTTAAATGTAAGTTCTATAAACTACATTCACATATTCTGAATACGAAGCTTTTGCAAATAATATGCAGCAAAATATGACTTAAAATTGTTTTGTTTATATTAATATTTGTTATGATGATAATATTTTTATTTGAAATGTAATTTCCAATTTAATCTCTAATATGACAACATAAGTATGTGGATCACTGTTTATTTTGTGTTGTGAAGCAGCATCTATGACTCCGTTACATATGCTGTTATATATTTTCAAATTACACTGCACAGCAGAAATCTTACAGTATAGAAATATTAGTTTTACCTACACTTGACTAAAAGTCAATGGCTACCATCAACTGTTTGTTTACCAAAATTCTTCAAAATATCTTCTTTTGTGTTCAGCACAAGAAATAAACTCATACAGGTTTAGAAGTGGATGGTGAGTAAATGATGACGACAGAATTTTAAAATTTTGGTGAATTATCCCTTTAAGCCACATTTCTTTTTGCCTAAAGGACAAAATAAGTAAAAAAAATAAAAATAAAAAAGTGGTACAGCTTACCCCACTCTCCTCTACTCTGTTTTGCATGTACAATATGTTGTTGTTTAGAAACAATAGGATTTGCTGAGGAAAACCACAAAGATTATACATCAGTGAATAAATCCTTTGTATGCTATTGTGATCTAGTGCTCATATTTCCCAGCCTAGTCCACTTTAAATGCTCCACTGAGTTGTCGGCCTATATTAACACACATGCCACCCAAAATCAGCAACAAATAATGAATTATTATAGAGGCCACTCAACAAATCTCTTTATCGGATTAATCACCCACGGTTGGACCTTTCTCACGCACCAAGACGCTCTTTAAACACCAACACATAACTTGAGAGGTTTCCTTCAAAGCGACAATGATGTGCGTCTTTCAATAGAGAATAATATTAGTATTAATGGCATTTTAAACGTTACTGACGGTTTAAAGGACGGGAAGCCAAACATACACACATTACCCTCCCCGTTTGTTCCATCATGTTTTTACCTCAAAATGATTCGTATAATAATCAGAGGGAAACACTCTTCCCACTTACCGATTTTTGTAGCGATCGAAGGATAGCCTATGTTTTATTTTTCGTCCTTTTTCTGCCTCTCGCGGTTTTACAGTCTATTGAAGTATAAGTAGGCTAAGGCAGGAGTTGGACAGACGTTAGGGAATGATCATGTGTTCAGGTACCTCTCTCCCTCTTTCTTTCACCCCGTCTCTCGCCTTTCTATTCGCAGCTCGATGCGCCTCATTCCTTCCTCCACCCTTTTTTTTGTTACCAAGGAAACTAACGGGAGACTGGGTGATGCAGCGCGCATGCTCAGTGCACGGGTCGAGCTGAAATTAGGGATTCGGGTCGCTAGGTGATTTTTGATCTTTTTGCGGCACTCTGCTATTTAAATCGTAGCCGTTTGTCTATGTTTGCTTTAGTAAGCTACATTTGTAGATATATTTATATTAAACATTACAATGCATGTTGTATCAAGCAGAATAATTAGACTAGGCTATTACCGTGGCTAATGATTAAAAACAGGACTGGTGAACAGTGTAAAGCAACGTGATATAGCCTACAATGACTTTCCTTAAGGAACTTTTTTTTTTTCGGTTAGAAAATATATGATAATCAAAAGAATATATATATATATATTTTCTTAAAATCAATGTTTGGAGCAAAATAAATAATAATAATAATAATAATAATAATAATAATAATAATAACAACTATCTGATAACATCTATTCCGTTCTGCTGAAGTCATCGAGTCCTCTAATTTTCCATATTTAGTGATATAGAATGGGAAGAGTTTTGGCTTCTTCGACAAAAATTCTTCTTATCTAATAAAGTTGTTGAAGTCTCTATCAAAATTATCCATAATTGTTACCGGTAAATTACAAACTTGCTAAATTTAACAATAGTATTTCCCCCAATTGCTCCTTTTGCCTTCAGTCTGAAGAAACAATCAATCATTTGTTTTGGGACTGTGCTTATTCTAAAGTGTTCTGGGTTGACTTTTCCAATTTTGTTAAAAATATTTATATCCAAACTTTTGTATAACCCCCAAAATTTTGTTTTTTTGGTTACTCTTCTTAGAGATATTGCTATATCTTGCTAAATTGCTATATCTTGCTAAATTTTACATTCATAAGTGCACATTTTCAAAGAAAACTCCCTACTTTTTTATTTTCAGGAAAGATTTGGATGTGTATGTAAACTCTTTAAGAAACTCTAATAATTCTATTACTTGTAAGACTCTTTCATGGTGTAAGTCTTATAAGCTAACATAGTATGCTTTGGAGTATTGTTTGTAACCCTTATTGTCTTTTGTTCTTACTTGTCTTTGTTGTTCTTCTATTGCATAATAAAAAAATAAATAAAATTAAAAAAAAACCTTGTTCCATCCAACATTTTAATCCTCACTGAATATCCTGAAATACATAATATTATGTAAATAAAGTCGGTTTTATATAAACTTAAACTCACAATACCACATAACTGTACAAAACAAAAGATTAATTTTGATTAATTTAAGATTGCGCAATTTATGTCATCAAAACTACTCACATTTCACGACTGTGCCTGCTTGTCTTATGCACTCTGTTCACATGTGAAGTATTTGTGGCGTATTCAGTGGCCACTGAAGTGCCGTTGAGCCTCAGTGGTGTCTTTTACCTCATAACTGGGTTATCTCACTATGTTTAGACAGGCCTGTGCTTGATGATAAGGCAGAGTCCCTATTTTGCACACTATACCATTTACAGTTTGCCCAATGTCATCTATATACAGTATCATGGCTTATATTCAGCAAACACTCGCATATTAGGGTTTATATGGTTCAGATCTCAAGATACATATTGAGTATTTAAAAAAAAAAGATCTACCACAAGCCTTTTTGACTTGACCTTATTTTTATTTGGTGATATACATTATATAGCATTGTCCCTTTTGGACATTGACGTCACTTTAATCACCAGTGTTTATGTTGCATGATCCCAAAGAGCTGACTGTAGAGATCATTAATGTTGTATGAATTCATATTAGAGTTACAGGCTAGTAGCATTCCATTAGTAGTATTAGTAGTAGTAGTAGTATTCCATTCAAAATTTTCCTGATGAAAATGCAAGTGCTCGCTCGTGCCAGGTCAATGCGATTCAGTTGCAAAGGTGTTCTGAGTGATTTTAGCATGTTGCTGTGCAACTGCTAAGGTGTTCTGGGTGATATTTAGCACATTGCTATGGGGCTGATAGTGTTTTGAGTGATTTTTTTGCAAATTGCACAGTGTTCTGAATTATTTTTAGCATGTTGCGAGTATTTGCTAAAGTGCTCCTTGTTATTTTTAGCACATTGCTATGTGACAAGGTTCTAAGTGCACATTGGTAGTTGTTGCTAAAATGTTCTGAGTGATTTTGTAGCATGTTGCTAAAGTATTTAGTGTGACTTTTAGCACATATTGTATATTTAGTTCCTAAGGTGTTGGGTGCATTTTTTTTAACGTTACAGTGCAGTTTCTAAGGTGTTCTAGGTGATTTTTACCATGTTGTTATATGGTTACAAAGGTGTTTTGGTTTAACCACATGATTTAAGGTATCAAATTAAAGTATCATATTGTGCACTTAAGTAAAAAAAATGTAATAGGCTTAAGGGCTGGTTCAAATCTCTAACCCTAAACATCAAAATACTAACAGTGCTTCTTGCCCAAACATTCACCACTAATGACAAGTTCAAGTCTTCCTCCCTGATACATGATACTTTACATGCCTAGGCTGTTTATATACTAAATTTAAATAATGCCGCAATGTACAGTGGGTACGGAAAGTATTCAGACCCCCTTAAATTTTTACCATCCCACCTGACAGAACTGGAGAGGATCTGCAAGGAGGAATGGCAGAGGATCGCCAAATCCAGGTGTGAAAAACTTGTTGGATCTTTCCCAAAAAGACTCATGGCTGTATTAGATCAAGAGGGTGCTTCTACTAAATACTGAGCATTTTTCAGTTTTTCTTTTTTAATAAATTTGCAAAAATGTCAACAATTCTGTGTTTTTCTGTCAATATGGGGTGCTGTGTGTACATTAATGAGGAAAAAAAATTAACTTAAATGATTTTAGCAAATGGCTGCAATATAACAAAGAGTGAAAAATTTAAGGGGGTCTGAATACTTTCCGTACCCACTGTATGTAGGCCTACTGTCAGATGTTCTTTTGATCACAGGTCTACAGATTCGGCTCAGCTGACCACATTCAGTGGATGATCTGTGACTCTTCAAAGGGAACTGGAAGCAGCTCATCTGGCTGCACTGACCTGATGTTTTACTGTAGCGGGATGTGATGACAGCGGTGTCTGTTTCAGAAGCTGCAGACTGAGGCCTGATCTTTGGTTTAGACTCTTGGTTGTCATTAGCACTGGTTTGATTCTGTTGGGAAGAGTTCATCATCATATTACTTTCATGAGAACGATCATTGGTTGCATTACAGTCCTCTGAAGCTCTGTCTTGAAGCTCTGAGTTGGGTGAAACCAGTACACTGTATTCCTTTGGAGAACTTACATTGTCCAGTTCTTGAAAAATATCCTTTTGGTTTGTGATACTTTTAGGTGATGAGATTGGATTTGTAAGTGCTGACTGTGTGGAGAGTTGTCTTGTTCTTTCAGCTGAAACTTGTGGGTGGTTTTGAGGTTTCTCACAGCTCCTCTCACACATCATGGTGGGTCTTATTATCTGCTTGGCTGCCCCTAACATTATCTTTGAACGAACAGGTTGTTTTAACTTCTCCGAAACAGCAGGATGTCCATCGCTCTGAATTTTTGGGTTGTTCCCTTCACTGCTTTTCTTGATCTTCTCCAGATTAGAAAACTGGGCACCAGAGTTTATAATCCTGCCTGTTTTAATCAATCCAAGCCGGATTCGAACTAGAGTAGGGTCTTGGGATTGGCGTTTCTTTTGATAGCTAGCTAAATTTTGTGGTCTGAATGCACTTTTTTCAACATGTCTGAGGTTTTTAGGGCTTAAGCTTTCAGACATTGAAGACTTGGTAACTCCCCTGCAACAGATGTTCGAATTTTGCTTTAGTTTATCCTGCTGTGGAGGTCTGAATGGATCTTGTTGTAGGCCAGTTTGCTTTTTTTGACCCCTCGTGTTGGATATGGGGATTGATCTCACACTTCTCTCAGTGGATAAAATGGGCATGAATCTAGACATTTTGTTTTCTACTGGCCTTGCTTTACCACGCATATTAGCAGAATGTAATGGTTTGTTTTCGTCAGTTGGTAGCACTCTAATTGTTGTGTCTAATTGAGAAGTAGTCTTGGCTGACTTCAGTTGTGGTGAATTTAGGGATGTATCCACTGTATTGATGATGCTGTAGAACACAGAACAGTAAAAATGGACAAGGTAGCATTAAGAAAGAGGAATAAACTTTAAACGTTTTTTATAGTCAAATTTTTTCAACAGAGTAAAATATTGTAAAATTAAAGACATTAGCAATATGTAATATTAGGAAATGACACATGATAATGTAGTATATTGGGACAGGGGTTCTCAAACTGGCATCTAGGGACCCCCTGGGGGCGCAACAGGATTATAGGGAAGCCGTAGAATTTGTTTAAAATGTATTTTTAAGGATTAAAAAGTTAACTGTAAAACTGTGTTTTGTAATGATATTTAGAGTTACAATTTTGTACAAATAAGTTTTAATTTAACTGAAAACTTTTCACATTAGGTTTTTGTATCAAATATAGTGGGGAGAAAAATAAACACTCAACTTAACACCAAGTAATTATTTTTCAGATAACATTTTAATTATTTGCTTTGATAGAATTTTTTAGTATTTAGTTTATAATATTATGTATTATTGTCTATTAGTATTTAATTTTACAAAACGCAATGCTTTAAAGTATCACATTGTTTCTCACACAGGAAAAAAACGAGTCTTTATATTTTAGGAAGGAGGTTCCTCATGAAGGGATCTGCAAATGTGGGGGTCCTTGGCATCAAAAAGTTTGAAAACGTCTCTACTGAGTGAAACATACCTTTGTGGAGAACTATCAGTCAGGTTCTGATGTTCCAAGCTTTGCCCGGTTTGACTGAAGGAGGAAATATGGATGGGCTTTTTTAAGACAACAGAGGGGGAAAGAGGTACGGGACAGGGGGACACTCTAGTGGGTGAGGTAGATGGGTCACAAGTAGGACAGGGAGACAGACGAACAGGAGAGTACGATGAAATAAAGTGAGAAGATGGACTGAGACGAGAAGGAGAAGTGGATAATGGTGAGAGATGGGAGGGAGAAGAGCCTGAGGTAACTGGACATGGTGAAAGACGGGAAGGGGAAGGAGAAAGAGGGATAAGACTTGGGGAGAGTCTTGCTGAGGACAAAGAGGGTGAGTTGAGGGGAGACACAATAGGTAATATGTTTCCAGTTGGATCTAGTTCCCTTGGGTTCATTGCAGTATATAACACAGCCTATACGATTTCATAAAAAAACGTTTGAGAATGTTACACAAAATATATAGTAAGTAGTAAAATTACGAGTTCACTGTAAATAAAGAGAACCATGACTAAAAATAGAATTAAATATGGTTTCCAAAGTCAAATATTTCACTGAATATGCAGAAAAAGGGGTTGATTATTCTACTAAGGCATATAGTGAGCACATCAAATTGAGAAAAGAATATGTAATATGACTGACCTGTGATCCTGTGGTCTGTTTACTGGAAGAGAGAAGCGAGAGAATGAAGCGGGAAGAGTGCGTCAGGAAATGGTGGGAACTAGACTTACATTCCCTCCATTCTTCTCATCTGAAGCTCCACTGTCTCATTCACCCACTCTCTTCATATCATACCCGCTAAATGGCAGAATTTGTGAAACTCCAAAATTAAGTGAAAACATGCAGAAGAGAAGGATTTCTTGACCAGTTTGTGTTTAATATAATAAAGTAATATTTGCAAGAGGGGAAAAAAACATGCAACAATTCATGATACAATTATCCACTATATTGCGAATGCCATTATTATATATGATTGTCCAAAGTATGATTATAACCAACATCTTAACACCATTTTAACCACATTAAAGGGACAATTGCATTTTGTTGACAAAATTGGTGTGAATCTAGATGTTACAAACCAAAAATAATCTAAGTGACACTTAACTACTGGCACATGAAAATAACTAAAACTAATAAACTGCTAATAAACACTTCCAGGGCCTCAGAAAAGAATGCTAGCCAACTAATAAGACAATTTGAACAGTGTGATTTTAGTATCTTAAAGACATTGCAAAAGTTAAAACATCTACAACAGATGATATGACTAAAATATAGTTAGCATTCTTAAAAAGAATGAGTCTTGAACATACTTTTGAAATATGGCACTTTTTATATCAGAAGTCAGTAACTGCTGCACAGTTTCCAATATTTCTACAATTATTTAATGACTAATGACAAATAGCATGCTGAGTATTTTGAGTTCCCTACTTTACTCTTCACTTCACAGTATAATGTACTGTATGTATCTTAGGACATGGGTTTTCCAGGTTTTTCAGGCATGTTCCAAAATGTGACCTGGAACATGACCGTCATGACCTGGAAACATTCCCTCTTGTTTGTACATTGTTTGCAATGTGTTTTCACACAATACACCCTTCACATAAAAGTCAAGGATGTTCCACCAGTTTGGCCAAATGTCACCAAAATTTACTCTGACGCCAACTTGTGTGGGAAGCATCACTGGATGGCTGTTTTATGTCATACAATGATCCCAGTAGAGCAGTGGTAGATATTGAGGTTATTTTTTCTTTCTTTCTTTTTAAGTTAGATTAATTTATTTAATGTTATATTAATATAAATTGTTAATGATGCACCGAAATTTCAGCAACTAAAAATATATAAATAAAAAAATATTTAAAAAAAATAAATAAATAAATGCTAGAATAGCAATACATACTTTTGTTTTTGTTTTTTGGCTGAAATATTGAGAGATGGCTCATTGCAAATGATCTTTATGGTTTATCACCTGAGTACACAACAACTTGAACATCAAACCACGTTTGGTTACCTAAATTTAATTACTGGTTTTTAGCTAAATTAATACTTTATGTGTAATAATTGAATGGTTTTGGTAAAAATTTATTTTAATGCATCATTATTAATTCTATTGATAATAATATGTGACCCTGGAGCACAAAACCAGTCTTAAGTCGCTGGGGTATATTTGTAGCAATAGTCAAAAATACATTGTATGGGTCAAAATTATTGATTTTTCTTTTATGTCAAAAAATCATTAGGATATTAAGTAAAGATCATGTTCCAATAAGATATTTTGTAAATGTCCTACTTTAAATATATTAAACCTTAATTTTTGATTAGTAATATGCATTGCTAAGAACTTCATTTGGATAAACTTTAAAGGCGATTTTCTCAATATTTGGATTTTTTTGCACCCTCAGATTCCAGATTTTCAAATAGTTGTATCTCTGCCAAATATTATCCTATCCTAACAAACCATACATCAATGGAAAGCTTATTTATTCAGTTTGCAGATGTTGTATAAATCTCAATTTCGAAAAATGTACCCTTATGACCAGGGTCCAGGGTCACATATGTTAATTTTAAATCATTTTAAGTGCCCTAGTGGATTCTGGATCCCTAGTTGAAAACCACTGCTGTAGAGACAGTTTTCATGATTAGTTTTGAAATAGCAGGGGAATACATCTAATTTTGTTAAGATTACAAAGTTTAATGCAAATAATATTCTTTGTAAATATAAATGAATCGAGTTCTGCTGTGTATTATACTATTTTGCTCTGTAGTCTGATTGCAGATCATTGCATATAACTATAGAAACCCTGTGAAAAGACAATGGATTTTGATAAAGTGGCATCAATATACAGTATGATTTGGCACAAACGTCTCATTGCAGCATCCACACATGCCCTATCATAATAAGGCGTTGCTGTCGTCATCTTTGCAGCATGTTTGTCTTATGGGAGCCAGCGGCTGGTGCCTCAGTGACTTGTTGCTCCACTTGTGGGCATCCTGAAGACCCGGCTCCAGAAAATACAGACACGCTCCGAAACCAGCCAGGACCAGGACCGAGACCAGCAGATAGACGGGGACGAACCAGTCCAGAAACATCCAGGGCATCGTGTTATCTCAAAAGTATAGAAAGAGAGAAACAGAGACAAATATTATTCTCTAAATGAGAACGCACCTGTGCACTGCAGTATATGAAATGCTGCATAATCCAATATCAAAGTATGACGGTACTCATACTTATCAGTGCAGCAGGTTCTGTCAATGAAGTACAACAAAGAATGAAGATGAAGTACAATGAAGATGAAATACACTAAAAATTAATCATACTTCTACAGCATGCGATAAAGCATCACTTCCACACATGCACATATTTATCATATGTCTCTACATACCTGTAGTCTTTCCTTGATCGTCTGTGAACTGGCGCAGTAGTTTTGGGTTTTAAGTCTCAAACCCAGGCTAAGCAGATGGAATCGTCCAATTAAAATGCTGAATAACGAAGCCAAATAGCAGCTGGCAAAGCTACATGGACAAAGACATTTTATTTTAGTCAGTGCTACGGAATGAGGGCTTTTCTCGCACCCTTGCTTTCGTGCTCTCCTTGTCAAAGCTGTACCATCCCATTCCAGTTGGGAGGGGGGGTAACCATGGAGATATCTCTGACAAGGAGAGGGTCAGAGCAGTTTTGTAATTTTTTTGTAACCCTTTCTTCTCAATCTTGCTCTCACATTCCTAATCATTTCATGTCAAACTGAAACATGGCAATTATCACTGGAAATTAGAGGACGTTTTTAGGAGGAATGTTATGTTGTATAAATGTTTTCACATCCCCAGAATGGTTAGAATAACACACAGCATTGCACACATCAAGGATAGTTCACAATTCTGTCATTATTTATATTTTAAACCTGTATGACTTTCTTCTGTGGAACAGAAAAGAAGAAATTTAACAAAATGTCCTTGCTGCTCTTTTGCATACAATGAATGGTGGGCTGGTACATTGAATCTGTAAATATAAAAAAGATCATAAAAATGATTCATACACACATCAAGGATAGTTCACAATTCTGTCATTATTTATATTTTAAACCTGTATGACTTTCTTCTGTGGAACAGAAAAGAAGAAATTTAACAAAATGTCCTTGCTGCTCTTTTGCATACAATGAATGGTGGGCTGGTACATTGAATCTGTACATATAAAAAAGATCATAAAAATTCATCACAAAGATTCATATGCTAACAAAGCTCTCAAATCGAATATTTACAACATATGCATAATCAAATTTGGCATGTCATTATCTGTAATGAGACTATTCATATTCATTGTATGGAAACAGATTTTGAAGAATTCAATCATGCTATTGATAGTCTCAAATGTCAGGCAAAACTGAGCAGCATTGACCTACACAAATATTTATATATTATAAGAAATATTTCTGCAATCATTTTTAACTAACTGTTATCACAGTGATTTTAGTGAATATAAAGTGAGCCCTTAAGTTGCCCTTAAGTTAACACAGGTGTAGTTCATCACTTTAAATAAGGACACTAACCTAACAAACAAGCATGTGTGTGATATAAATAAATTTGGTTTAGTATTTTTATATATACTACTATTCAGTAGTAGTAGTTCTGGGGTCAGTAGGATTTAAAAAAAAAAAAAAAAACTTATTCAGCAAGAATACATTAAATTGTTCAAGAGTGACAGTCAAAGCATTTATAAAGTTACAAAAGATTTCTATTTCAAATAAATGCTGTTCTTTTGTACTTTCTATTCATCAAACAATCCTGAATAAAGTGCAACTGTTTTCAACATTGATAATAATAAGAAATGTTTCTTGAGCACCAAATCAGCATATTTGAATGATTTCTGAAGGATCAAAAGAAGAGTTAATTTAAATAGTAATAATATTTTACAATATTAATGTTTTACTACTGTGATTACTGTTTTCTTAATGTATGCATAAAAGCACCTTTCAAAAACATAATTACCGATTATAAACGTTTGAACTACAGTGTAATTCAATAACATTCATTCATTTTAAAACCTGATTTAATTGTCTAAATACTTTTTTGGGCCACTGTAGCTTCAGAATTTATAGTGACAGACCTATTACCGTACTTGCCCCAATAATGGCACAAGGTCAAATTATTGCACAAATTACATTACACACTTTAATCTTTAGTTTTGCTTCATCACAACAAAAGTAACAACGAACAGATGTTTTAGTTAATATTTACTATACATGCCTTCAAAAAAAACTTTAGTTCATACCATATAGCCAGCTTCTCTTTGAATAGATTAAATCTAGTAATGCATAAAGCCAGTTCAGCACTAAATCTATTTTTTGAATACTGATTAATGTATGTCAGCAGCATTTATTTTGTATTTTGCCAATATAACACGGTCCACATCTCAAAAAACACCATACCTACTATGAGGTGTGAATGTGGTCACATCAAGCTGTGAGGGAGATTTCCAGCAGCAGGGACTGAACATCTTGTTAAAAATGGAAGACAAATGGATAGCGAAAATACTGGAAACGTTCTGAACATTTTCTAATAAAACACCTTTTGTAAATTGAAAAAATTAATTTGACTTAAAACATCACAGTATCATACAAAATTACGAGAATTGGTTAATGGTGCGAATATTTTGAATCAGTATACTTCATTATTTGAATAATTTGAATTGGCATGTGTGTGCTATAATTTGGAAGACTGATTTTCTGTTTCGTCAGGACTGTGTGACTGAAGAAAATCAGTGATTATGGAGGCTACAGACTCAGGTTTGTTGAGGTGAATGTGATGATCCCCTTCTATGTTAAGAATGGTGGCCTGCAGAGGAGTGAGAAAGATATTTCTGCTTAACAACAGACAGACATTTTGCACTTATGTTTGTGTGTATGTGTGCACATCTCACTTTTTGATCAACCCAGCTCTTCTGAATCAAATCACCATATCCATTAGGTAGAGTAAACGTTTTGAATAGACCGTCTTTTGCCCTGAAGAAAGACACATCTTTCCTTATGAAACAAAGCGGCAAATACGGTATGTCACAAGACATGAATGCAAGACACAAATGCAGTCTGATATTGTATAAAACTGCTGTGTGGATAAATAGTGTTTTTAACTATGCAGCATGAACCAATCAGCTTGTGCCAAGTTGTTTAACTCTCTGAATATCATCAGTTACGTTAACACCCCACCAGCCTGCGCCATCTAGAGTTTCATGACTGAACTATATATTTAAAATGTACTTAAGCCACACTTAACATGCATTCATACAATTGTCCGCAGATGCCACTAGGTTTATATATCTTGTTATCGAATACAATGACATTCTGGCATTTTATATTTGATTTAATGCTTTTTTGGGGCCAGTATACTGTACATTATAATGTTGTGATGATGCCTAAATTGACTTTTAGCATTTAAATTGACTGATTTTCACTTTTAGTTTTTTATTTAGAATTTATTTAGAGATAATAAACAAATATTATAGAATTTAATATCTGCCAATTATTGGTTTCTGGCCATAACATGAAAATAATTATCATCTTATCAGTACTGGACAGAATTTTAATAATCGTGCATCTCTAATTTTGAGCATTGTGGATAAATGTGCACAGTGTTTCTCTTGAACACTATGAAAACTTGTATGTGTGTGTGTGTGTGTGTAAACTCACAGCAGTAGCATCACTCTGGCTTTAACTAGTGACAACATGTGGAGGCACTGTTCTATATTATTATTCACAATGTTTTTCTGAAACAAAACCAAAATTATGAAGTGTATAGTGTGTTTTTACACATTCCTTCCTAAACACAAGACATTTTTATAGCAGAAACCACAACAAAAAAGGAATAAACTACTGTATATGATAAATATAGTATATATATAATATATATAGTTTTTTGCAGATCTGTCACAGATAAATATGGGTCAAACAGTCAAACTAAATATGAAATCTTGTTATCAGTAATAAACAAACAACTGAAATGTAAAGGAATGAATAAATATATTGAAATGGCTCACCAAGTTGATCCTGAAATCTCTGGAGAACACAAATCCTTTAAGAGAAAGGAAGTAATTTAGAGACAAAAAATTAAATGTCAGAAAATCTAGGTCTGTAGAGTGAGAATACAATTGCTGTACGTCTTACCTCCCTCGACTTCTCTGACAGCTCGCTCTAACAGAATGTCTGCAGACGGATCGGAAAGGGAGGGGTTTGCAGCCTTCAATCTAAAAGAGGATAATAATAATAATAATAATAATAATAATAATAAATGCAGTTCATTTGAACTTTTTATTCATCACAGAACCCTGAAAAAAGTGTATCACTGTTACCACAAAAATATTACGCAGAACAACTGTTTTTAACATTGATAACAACAAGAAATGTTTTGCAAGCAGCAAATCAATATATTAGAATGATTTCTGAAGGATCATGTGATACGGGTTGCTGAAAATTCAGCTTTGCAATCAATATGAGGTGGACAAATGATGAATCAACACTTGAAAATGGCAAATATTTAGTTAAAGGGGAATAATTTGAAAAAAGTTTAAGTTGACATTAAATGGAAGTTGTGATCACCTTTACTCCCCTATTGTGACATATATCAAGTGAAATGGTTTCTCGAATAAGAAAAAAAATGTGGGGTGCAACTTGATTTTGTCTAGGATAAATCATTTATAATAAACTGCAATATTTCGAAGAAAAAAAAAAAAAGTTTTCCATTTTGAATTTTGGGTGATTTTAAAGATAAGACACTCAAAATGTGGGAAAGAATGTGGCTGAAACTCAACTGAAACAAGAACACTGATGTGCTATAACCTACACATTTGTCTGTAGCTGAATGTGAGGAATTCTTCACCTTTCTTTGGCTTTCTCATACGTGTACACCCTCTCTTTCCTCTCATCCGTCTTGTTGTCATAGTGGATTTGATCATTAATCCCTTTCCTCATGTTCTTAAACATCTCAGTCTAAGGAAGGACAAATAAACATGTATGTTGTTATCATTGCCGCATGTATGTTGAATAAGTAGTCTTCTCTATGATTTACAAATAATGACTCTAACATGCTCCATTTATTGTTACCATTTGTGTTGGGAGGTATCCATAATTATCCAAGAGAACTACAGCATCAACCATCTCTGGGTACAAGGCACTAAACTGGAAAACCAGAAGGAACTGTTATCACACACTACAGAGACTTTATTTACTAAAACTTTTGTTCTCAACTGTTGCAAAAACCAAAATGTATCCGCTCAAGGACAGCAGATAAAAAACAATGCTATCCAGTCTTATACTCATGTATAGCAAGATAGCAAAATGTTAAAAATGTTGCAAACTGTTGGACCTTTACAGCTCACTGTAATATTAAATCATTTAAAGACATTTTTGTTTACATTGCATCATTTCAGTACTGTGATAGGTTTTTCCTTTATGTCAAATCTGGGTCATGAAGTAAACCAGCTGAGAAACACTGTATTACACAACTATAACATTTACATAAATAGAAAAAATGATGATGGATACTCACTATTCCTGCCACATTCCCACCTGTTAAAGAAACATCAAATTATGGTAAATTGACAAATAAATAACCCAGTTCAAAATTAGTTTCCACTTACTTGAATGTCATGATTATTTGTTACTTATTTGTGAAATGTATTGATTTTTTAATTATAATTTCATTTATATTCCAGTGTTATCCAGTAACCATGATTATTATTTATTTTACATTTAAGTATTATCAATAATATGAATACTAATAATTATTAATAATATTATTGTAGTTATTTTATGTTACTTCAAGACTGTGCATTAATTCTGATTATATATTTATGTAAGGTAATGTTAATGAATTGTTCACCTTTTTTTCTATATCTTTACCCACACCTAACTCCTTAATTCATTCAAAGTTATTACTCAAAACACACACTTGTTTCCTACTGTGGAATATTTAAATCTTCGGTCTTAAAATATATTTTAATTCATTAAAGCTCAAATCCTAGAAATAATACTGCAGGTACTCAAACTCGCTCATCATCTGGTCGTGAATAAGGGTGACATTAGAGAAGTGGTGATGCTATAAATAGTAGGGAAATACGAAGACAAGTTTGTGGCATGCCTCCCAGAGTGTCCTTCTAATGACCTTTTAGTGATCTACTAACATACATTTATGTCATTGAAGAAAGGCTACAAAATATAAAGGCTTTACAGAGCACTACAATAACACAGCTTCACAATAAAATTATTTATCATCAGTTAACGTACGGTTTGCATCGATCCTCTGACCTTTCACACACAAAAGAGAACTTTGACCTCTATCAGTTAATGAAGTGTTGACTCACCCATACTATGTCCAATGATAGAGAATTGCTTCCACTGAAGAGCTGCAAACAAATGGAGAAAAAAAATACAAAATCAGGTCACACCTACAGTATGTTTTAAATTAGTTTTTGCCTTGCTTTTCAGTAAAAATAACAAAAAAATTCAAACAAGAACAACTTACTTTACATGCAACACTGCATTATCTATTATGGCTTGTTTTCATTGATTGTATCTTGAATGTTTATTTTGTATTATTTCCACTTGTTTTGTTTTTTTTACTTGCTTATGCATAAAACAAATTGCCAAAATGCACTGAAATTAAATAGCCTATACCTTTGACAAGTCTTCTTACTTCAAACAGTGTTGCTTCTCAAGTACATTTATCTTGTTCCAAGGATTTTTAGATATTTTGATTGGAAAGTAAGGCAAAGATACTGTTCTTTTTTTTTTTTTTGTAATGAAGATGAATCATTAATGGTTTGTAACAAAGGCTGAGTTGCTTCAAACCTTCTACAACTCGCCGAACATCTGCCACATACAAAGGGAAGGTGTAAAGGCATCCATCAGGCCTATGAGACGAGAGACCATGACCTGGAAAGTCAATGGCTACGAATCTCCAGTCTGGGAGAGATGTGGAGAAAAACAGAGAAATTGAGAACCAGTTTCACATTGATGTTTGTGGATGAGGTATGTAAGAATGAATTTATCCATGTGGACCTTCATAATGTTAATAAATCCTCTGGAATCAAACACTACACCTTTAGGAAGCAGTGGAATCAGGGTACTGAATGTCCCGCAGTTGTCAGCCCAACCGTGCAAGCACAGCACGGGACGACCATTAGAAGGACCCCAAACCTGACCTCTCACCTCTCCCCACGGGACAGTCATTCGAAACTCAGACGCTGTGTCAAAATATAGAAGAGTCATAATTAGTTACATTCATTCATGTATATTCTATAAATAGTTGATTTTCAAGCAACTATGATGAATATTAACCTTTGTAAATTTTCAAAAAACTAAATATTAAATTGAATTAAATTCAATACATTTTCTTACCTGCTCTCCTCATCGTAGTTGTGGAAAAGTGTCCGAGGCTCGTGAAGGCAGGAAGCATTCTCACACCTTGCAGTGCAGTTTAAACCCCCTTACAAGATAAGGAGAAACGTATGTTTAATTGAAAAACATATTTGTAAATGTTCGGAAGGTACTCTAACCTTATTCATCTGAACATGACATGCATGTAAGACATTCAGACTAACTAACAGATATAGAAGTATAAATTCAGGAGCTGTTATGCTCCTAAACTGTCCTGGAACGTGAAGAGAAAATATATCTGTATAAAATATGTTAATTATATAGTTCCGCTTTCCAAATTAATTGCAAACTTACGTCGAGGGATATAAATCGCCTGTCCTCTTCAAGTTTAGTTACTATTTACAAGCACATCACGCACTGTACATCCTGGCCAGTAACTTTTAAATGACTTTAAAATAAAAGTCGTTGCCGCTGAATCATCATTTTGTTAGAAAATGCTTTTCGAAAATGAAAACAAAAAAAATTACATTTCCAAAACTCTTACCACTACAAAACACTATGCTTCATTTCGAAAACGTAAAGTCATTGTTATTTCCCGTCCTACTTTTATATTGAAAATATCCGGTCACAAGGGTAGTGCGAGGATTTCCACTAATCTTGGCTTCACGCTTCTGGAACTGAAACCCAAAACACAAGGTAAACGCTAAGCAATGAAATATGCTTTGATTGTGATACCTACCTGCTTTATAATTTCATAATTTCTTTACAAGGTGGCTCGTTCGGTGTATTATTCAGTCCCTATATAATCAAGAAGCCACATAATGTAATCAGAGACCAGTATTACATGATAAACGCTACAATGCATGACAAATCAATTAATTCTAAGGTTAACTGACATTTATGTATTCCTAAATATTTATTTGCAGATCATAATATGCTGGTTTATAACACTAAATTGTTTATATTCCAGGACTCAGGCACGTTCGTTCTTTAATTCAGATTGTGATTCAGTTTCGGTGTGGACGGAATGGAGGTGCGCTTCACGCGAGGCAAATCTGCGATCCTCGAGCGCTCGCTCACGCGCCCCAAAACCGAGGTGAGCGTGAGTGCGTTCGCGCTGCTCTTCTCTGAGATGGTGCAGTACTGCCAGAGCCGCGTGTACTCGGTGTCGGAGCTCCAGGCCCGGCTGGCAGACATGGGTCAAGGTGTTGGAGCCAGCCTACTGGATGTTCTTGTGATGAGGGAGAAAAATGGAAAAAGAGAGACCAAAGTTTTAAACATACTTCTCTTTATTAAGGTATTACTGTTTATTTGTTTACAGATTGTAGATCATTTTTGGTTGCAGGAATAGTTCACCTAAAAATGTAAAATGACAGAATCAGAGATGTTGGTTTATTTAGATTTGGAGAAATTTAGCATTACATTATTTGCTCACCAGTGAATGGGTGCCGTCAGAATTAGAGTCCAAAGAACTGATAAAAACATCACAGTAATTCACACCATTCCAGTCCATCACTGCAGAGGATCCACTGTTGAGCAAGCGATGTAATGCTAAATTTCTCCAAATCTGTTTTGATGAAGAAACAAGCTCATCTACATCTTGGCTGGCCTGAGGGTGAGTACATTTTCAGCGTGTTTTCATTTTTGGGTGAACTAATTCCTTCAAAGTTTACATAGCCTACGGTGTTAATTCTGTTTCTTTCTTCCTAGGTTAACGTATGGAAAGCATTATTCGGCAAGGAAGCAGACAAACTGGAACAAGCCAACGATGATGACAAAACGTACTACATCATTGAAAAGGAGCCTTTGATCAATGCCTACATTTCAGTACCGAAAGAGAACAGCACTTTGAACTGTGCAGCCTTCACCGGTGGCATCGTGGAGGCTATCCTAACCCACAGTGGCTTCCCAGCCAAAGTCACTGTCCACTGGCACAAGGGAACCACACTGATGATCAAGTTTGATGAGGCAGTCATTGCTCGTGATAAATCTCTTGATGGCAGATAGCAGATTGCTTACTTCACCGAGTCTCAAGTTTTAGCATTGAGTCTGGAGTTTCAACATTGTCCCCCCCACACTCATTTTTATAGCTTTGATAACAAATTCACTGCATCTAGCACAGATCTCAAAATAACATCAAGTCTGTCTCTGGCTGTCCTATTTTTAATGATGTTACAAATGATTGCTGAGGACAAGCCACATCAACACAGTCACCTCATTAGTCCAGTGTAAAATGATGTCTTTACTGATACACTAATGCAGTGAAGGTTATTATCTGTGAATTTTACACATGTCCCATAATAAGACATGAATAAATTGTAATAAATTATCAATTAAATAATTACTGAATTTAGGCTTGGATCTCAGTGGAATTGAGTATCACTGCACTGAAGTTGTGTGAAAAAAAAAAATTACATACACCTTTAACTCTTAGTTCCTTCAGTATATCACAAAATTGTGCAGACAGTGTACATATGTCTAAATGAAAAATCTGAACTAGCGGTAGCAGAGAAGTTTTATTTACAGCATGAATAATTACATTTGGGCTTCTTGATGTCTGTATTATAGAGGATTGTTCTATGTATGTGTAAATGTTTCATTTGTTCATGTTGTTTCATTTTTCATCACACAATATAATAAAGATTTTGTCAACCGCAAGGAGAGAGGAGGAAATATTGTCCCTTACAAAAACGTACCATGATAACAATATTTTATGCCTAAAAGCTGTACAGTAGTTACAACAGTTATTGTTAATACTTACATAGCATAATGATTACATTATTATTATGATTATAGATTTCCATAATAATTATAGATATTATTAATACTCTGACATAATGTAATACTTTGTTTTTCTTTTTAATGACAGTTACAACAGTTTTATTGCAGTAACAATAACTAGTAAATAGTAGGGAAATTTTGTCAGGAACTGGATTTAGCAGTTTTGTGTAATTAAGTGTAATCATGGCGTTTAGTAGTGTCTTGATTTCCTGTAAATGGTGTCATGTTGTAAAAAATCAGCACAAACTGTTCCCTATAAGTCATATGTTTCACACTGATTCTTGAGTACTGTGACAAAACAGGCTACAAAACTGAAAAATAAAAGATTAATATGTTAAACATGTTCAGAGATGTAAGTTTGAGTGCAGGTTCCTGCTTCCATTTTCTCAAAAGGTATTCTTTTTTTCACTCAATATAGGTCAAACCCAATAAAAAATAAGATATTATTCTGTATATATTGAAAAATCTAGCATCCACTTTAATAAACAAATCAATGAATAGACTAAGGACATGGATTACTGGAACCATGTCCTGTGGTCTGATGAGACCAAGATAAACGTATTTGGTTCAGATGGTGTCAAGCGTGTCTTGCCTACAGTCAAGCATGGTGGTGTCCCAATTTGGACATTTTCACTTAGGGGTGTACTCACTTTTGTGGCTGTATATATGAACTGTATATATGAACAACCTTTCAAACTATTTTTATAATTTGTGATCGTTAAATATAAGAAAAACAGAACATATAAAACATAATACAGCTGTAAATTAAACGTAATATAGTTTAATATGTTTTAATATATGAAGGATAATGCAATGTCCTTTTTAAAATAGAGAAAATCAAATGGTACATTAGTGTTCTAGCATTCTAGTGATCATCTGATTTATTTCAAAGTAGAATTGAGAATACATCCACAAAGAACTCCCTTTTCCACTATCACATATCACTTAATGTGAATAATACACAACAAGCTCTGTTTACAGTATCCACACACACGCCAACACCATGAAAGTTTTATGGCACACCTCAGTCCGCAGCGTCAGAGTTTGTCACATGATGTTGTCTGGCCACATGACCTCATCAGAAGTTGTCTGTGCTGCTCGCGAGTGGACGCTTGTAAACATGTGGTAACCGGAGAGGAACCCTTCAATCAACCACTGAGGGGCAAAACAAGCCTGTTGAACAGATTCGGGTCCTGTTGTACTGTGAATTAAACTGGGATTTTAATGCCGACGGCCTCTACGCGGGATTTTAAATCGCTGACATGGCCGAGGTGGACGCGAATAAAGTCAATCATGTTTCCTCCGGTGAGTTTCGGTGTGTCGATGGGGTGTTAGACCGCAAGAGTGGAAATATAGTCCTGTATTTTTATGGAATGGAGTACAGAATAGTTCGTTTATTTTCTGTATTGTGAATGTGTGTATTATATATTGTGCACAAAAATATCAAATGTCAAAGACACAGGAGTCTAGACTGAGCATTAGTGGTCACGAGCGCAGTGGCTACTTTTTAGTCTTAGTCTCGCAAAATTTTATTGTTCTAGAGGTAAATAAATGGCTGCTTTGGTATGTGTGTTGCAAGTGCCATTATGATGATTCATGTAATAATTGTCAGTAACAGTCTTTCCTGTCCTACACCCTCAACAGAGCCCATATAAATATTCCGTTTCGAGCATTGTGCAAACTTAGTGAACCTTCGTTCGTAATGCAGATTCGTGTGGTCACCATGTACAGTTTCATTTATGCTCGGGGCCATAACTACCATTGATCAGGATTGCTCCCCCCTAAAATGCAGAGTAGGCATTTGTGTGGAGTTTGCAATGACTTGCATCTCTTACCTTTGTTCTCCTCAGGCATCCTTGCCTTTCCTGTTTGCCAATAGCCCTATTGACGTTTGTTGTTAAGGATTTTGTGGTTTGGATGATTCAGTATTTCATCACGAGGCTGGATAGACTGCTGTGTTAGTACATGCATTGTGTATGTGATTTATTTTCCACTTGCTTGTTTTCGTATTTTCTTCCTCATTTGTGTCCCATTGACCTTATTTCTACTGTAACACCATAATGTGCTTATGGAGTCATAAAACATGCTGGGAATTATAACTACATTTGCCACCTGTTTTAATTTTCATTTCACTTGGTTTATAATGACCAAGTGACTGTTGGGCTGTTTTTAAGTAAACATTAAGTAAAAAAAAAAAATCTGGTATTTGCTTTCATATTTTTGTCTTAGTTCTTGGTCTATGTCGAATGTTATTTAAAAAAGAAAGAAAAAACATCTTTGTAATCTTTAGCAACTGAAAATACTTTATACTGGTTATTTGATAATGTTAACCAATAGTCAAAAACCTATTTAGGATTTATTAAAGAAAATTTTAATTAATGTAATGTAATACCCACTTATCAACATCCAATCAATTCACAATTGAGCAAGTCCTACATTTTTTTTTTTCTCAGTAATTATGCAGTTTCTCTCAAAAATATGTTTACAGAAAATTACGGAAGTAAGATGGTTTGCGATTACATGTAACCAATAGTCAAAAACCTATTTAGGATTTATTAAAGAAAATTTTAATTAATGTAATGTAATACCCACTTATCAACATCCAATCAATTCACAATTGAGCAAGTCCTACATTTTTTTTTTCTCAGTAATTATGCAGTTTCTCTCAAAAATAGGTTTGCAGAAAATTACGGAAGTAAGATGGTTTGCGATTACATACATCACGTTACATACACGTTGTCTACAAATCAATAAATCAGTTGCATAGGGAACGTT